GGAATATCATGAAAGCAAAGGCATGGGTAGTGAGTAATAGAAAAGGAGTAAAAAAAAGGAAATAGGGAAAGGTATAGAATAAATGACAAGTTTTTTTTATAAAAGAAAAAACGGGAAACGGGATTCCCCTTAATTACGGGGGGAGGAGGAAAGGTAAAAAAAAAAGACAAAAAAAAAAAAAAAAAAAAAAAAAAAAAAAAGTAAGAGAGAAAAGGAGGGAGAGAAGCAAAACGGATCAGAGAGGGGGATCAAACCCCTCTCTGATCCGCCCAGGTCCTGCCCGTTTCCTTTGCTAACGATATTCGTAAAGGTAAGAATATTCGTCACCAGGAAACGAGCAGGCCCTGTCTCGAACCCGGGCCAGCAGTGCAGTTGAGTGTAGCCCACTGCACCACTGGCTCCGGGTCGGTTGACAATATGATATAATAGAGGCCCATCTGTTGTCAAGTCGGTTGCCTAAAAGGGAAGTGAATGGTCAGATGCCTGGGGGTTAAGGCACCATTGTGAGGCAGAGACAGAGAATCGCGACTGCCTTCGTTGCATCTGGGCTTTGGCTTGGAGAAGATGCGTAGCTCTTGTCCACTCCGATGCTGGACTGAGAATTCGAACCTGGTCGGCGAGGTAGGTGAGTGATTAATGATATCTTGATGATGCCTTACACTGAGACTGCTTTCTCCTTTAGATTAGATGTCGACCTTCACGGACTCCTTTAAAGTCCTGTTCATCTGCCCGTCGGCTTACATTATCTACCTAATGCTCAACGATTACAAACCTACCAGGGATCCCAATTTGTTGTTATCGAGCCAGGAGAGACGACTATAGAGCTCTCATCTGCGACTAACTCATGAAATTCCTTTTATCGACGTCCTAATCACAACGCACGATGGACACTACAACCCCGTCGAATCAACAACACTCACTACTCCAATCAATCCTATGGGTTCTAACGATGGCCCTGATCTATGTGGTTATCCATCACCGCTTTGACGCGTACCTGAATCCAAGCGGAGGCGAATCTCTTCACCATGCTAGACTCAGAGCAAGTATCCAGCGTGAACTTGAAGATATAGAGGAGAAACTAGAGCTGGCGGAAGCAGGCTCTCTGGAGTTGAGGCAGTATATCATCCAGACTCATGATAGGGCGCTTTCGATATTTCCAGAGCTAATGGAGATGCACGCGGCTCAATGTAAGCTGACGCCGGAACGACGCCGGATATTCGTTCGCGCAGAAGAGTCGCGCTCAGCTTCTGGGGAGAAGAGGGATTATGGTCATCAGGATGTTGAGGGGTGTTGATCGCTACAGGACAATGCAGAAGGCGTTGGCTATCGAGTGATGACAACAGAGACTTGCTATTCTAAGGGACTTGCTTTGATGTGATTCACCTAATAGTGATATGGTTAAATCCTACTTCAATCTCTTTCTCTAATATCTCTATCTTGATCTCAAATCTCAGTCACAGTGATCGAACTTGAAAAAGCCACTGACACAGGAACTCCGAGCAGCAAATCTGAGAGGACCAGTCTAACTAAACACAACACCACACATCACCAAATTGTAGGTCCATCCATGCTTCCTCGTTTCGTACTCCACCCTGTGAAAGACCTAGTACCTTCCACTAATCAATCGCAGGAAGGCTGCATCCAGTGGATTGCATCACACCTTGACAGGACCAACATCAATGTTAAAAAACTCCGTAATGACCCTAGTCCTCAGCAGCGGCGAAAAGTAATCAAACCCCACCATGACACCGCAAGCATCCACATAGATAGTCAGCGGAATAGAAGCATACATAAGATTCCACTAAACTCATCAGCAAAGAACCCCCTCAAGTGTAAGAAAAGCCTCTTACCGCCGCCACACGCCCCCGCACAATATCCCTCTCAACCAGCCCCCCAAACGTCGCCCCTCCCTGCACCAGCATATCCTCCGCAAACAGCGGATAATTCGACAAAACATACCCCCTCCAGACCACAGGACGCATATCGAATCCGAAGGAGGTCATGGTGTTATCGACCAGCCCGTCTGCGGTCATATTGTCGTAGTCGAAGACAGAGGTGGCCATGGCCCCGTCGAAGGCCTCGTCCGCGCGGACGATCCCCTGCGAGGGAGAGAAGTAGATGTACCCCGACGTGACGTGGGAGAGGTTTTGATTCCTACGCCATGAGCACTAGTCCCACAAATCCAGGGACAATAGACTGACCATTTGTGCTGGATGAAGCTGGTTTTGAATTCGTTCTTGATCAGTGGGGGATTCGGTTGCTGGAACTCGGCGGAGTATTCCTCCATTGAGGAGGGGAAAGTGTGGCATGTCTTTGCTGTTTGTTTGGCGGAGACGGCAGTCATGGCCAGAGACAGGAGGAGGAATATCATTCGTGTCATGGTGGATGGGGAGACGAGGATTAGATTTCGTATTTGTTCGAGATGAGATGCTGAGATGATGATTATCGTCATGGGAGGTTGATCCTATTATACCTTGACTATCTCAAGCGCGGGCAGCGAGAAGGTATATTCAAGATTCTTCATGTGTGCTGTTAATGCCGTTGCCTGATTGCTCAGTGCCAGTGGTCTCCGCTGCGCTCAATTACTGCCTGTTTCGGAAAATAGAGTCAAATTCGGGTCGAGGTCGGTAAGACCCTTAGTAGTCGCTTGGAGGTCCACAATTCAGGATGGATTTAGTGGCAGGGTACGAAATAAGGCGTATCTTTGGATACCAGCTTCAGATAACATTCAGAGCTTGGAATTACAAGGCAGGTTCTGATATCTCTAGTGATATAAACATGATTAGCTGCATCAGGCCAGGTCTGAAATTTCGTGCAGAATAGCCTGATAGGTATGACTGCTTGGCCATTGGGCTATATTAACTGCTCATGTACATAACACTCTCGGTAGAGCTAGCTTAGCTCTTGTAAACCATGAGGAAACCCATTTATAGTTCTTGCAACTAATTCAACTTTCGTCATGCCACTCGCATCTTGTGATACTCCCAATACTCCTGCAGATCACTGCCAATGCGCTTCGAGACCATGAACCCGTTTTTCCAGACCCGGTCCAGCATGCCCAGGATTCTTGCTCGCTGCATCCCGTCCTTCGCCCGGCTGCCGGCGACTCGGAGGGGAAAGAACAACAAGACCCCTGGTATGTCCGATGCGGTCAAGATCCGATCCGCCTGCTCTAATATAGCGTCTACATGGTAGTCAGTCTCCCAGTGCGATAGGCGTGGTGCCTGTCTATGGCTCCAGTATGGATAGTAGTTGTAATTGTTGGAGAGGAAGATGAGCAGTGCGTGAGAGTAGACAAAGGCCAATTGGAGAAAGTCTGCGTTTGCCACTTGATCTAGTAAGATAATAGCTCGATTATGCCATTCATATATGGAACGCTGTATCTCCAGTCCTTCAAGCCCTAGGGCATGAATCAGGGGTAGATCCGGATCCTGCACGCCATGAACGAGGTCAAAGAACCTAGATGATACATGAGTAGACGACGACACAAAATTTATTTGATGCATACCGAGCACTAAAGGTAGATGTCCGTATCATCAGACTCAGCATAGTTTCTAGGCCATCCTGGTCTGTTGTTGCGGACGATTCATCCCGTGGGGAGTGCAGCCACTCCAACTCGGGAAGGATCGAAGTCGCACCGTACAACAGCGTTCTACTAGCCTCGAGTACACGAAAAAGCTCAAAGAACATCTGCCGCGGAGTGGACATCTTTTGGCCCGGTCCTGCAAGCTGGAGAAGCTTAGAGGTCCCCGATAACATGTGCTTTGCCCAGCCTTCCCCGGATGGATCAGCCATCAGCTACAAATCGATCAGTGTGGCATTTCCGGCTATGAGAAGAAAGACATACCTCGAACAAGCCTAGGAAGAAAGTCCCCCAGAGTACGTCTTCTCTACGGGCAACGTCACTGTCTGCTAATGCCGTCTGCAATTCGCGGAGAGAGCTGGAGTACGCGCTCAACGCAATCAACCGGGGAGACTCCTGACCCCTGTGCGTGCTGACTGAAGCATGGCGCGCGGCATCCAACGCGCCGATGGCGGTGACAGCCAAACTGAGCAATGTCGACGTATGAAGCAGGGGCACAACCTCCGTAGGCAGACATCGAAAGCGACGGGTAAATCGATTACGGCGGATGAAAGCCATGAACTGGTCAATGTAGCGAATTTCTGTTCTATTTCCCATCTGCTGGTTAAGAGTCTTTCGTGATTGACGGCTTTGGTAAATGACATCGTGAGTATGGCCTATGATGGTCGTTGCTGGTCTCTTTTTGTCCTGCTCCAGGCAGTTCCGGTTGGTTCGTACACAATAGCTGCAGGGGATGCCACCGGAGCACTGCATCCATCAGCATTATCGACACCATACATCAGCATCAGACCGATTACCTACTCGAATCTTCCGAGTCGCACAGGCCTGACAGCGGGTCACTCTTCTTCGTTTGTCAAAAGGACCGAGTGCACGTTTTGGCGGCATTGTCTCTCTTCGAAAGGGTAAGGTTCGAGCGCACATTGAAGGTATATTCGGACTCTTTAAAAGTTAGCTTGGACACAGATAGATGTTGCCGACTGTCGAGATCTCAAAGTAGGGAACAGGAAATCCTCCTGCCTAGTATGAGACTAATCTGGATCGGGAAATAATCGAGCGCAGTGGAACGGATGTCGTACCCGCAAAATAACCTCACATTAGGACCAGTGGGACCGACTAAATGTGGATATATATTACCGATGCCATATTATCGCCGTCGGTCCGTGGCTGACTCGCTGTACTGATTTCATTTCACAGTTGTTTCGTCGGAGCAGGAATCTACCACTGCGAAGGTAGGTAGTCCCGAAATGCCGTACTACGGAGTCGATCGAGCTGGTTCCGGCGACTGGGATTGAGCTCTCTCTTGAGCTTTCTTCGAAGAAGTTTGTGGGGTTTTGTCTTCATCTAGGATATATGTGACGCTTAATATCCGAACGGACAGTATATCGATATATATCAACCACTCAAACTTCCCACGTCCGCTTGTCCCAGGACCCGTGGGACCTCTCCCAAGCAATATCCTCGCATTCGTAGATGTCTTCTCTGCATTCCATCCGACTTCAAGTCATGCCAATACTCCTCGTCTCATACTCCTCCGGTCCCTCTCCCTCCTCATCTCTACAAGAGGGGTGTGTATATAATCCAAAATCTTGACTGCTTTCCCGTCGATCAAGGCGGGATACTTGCCACATTTGACGAGTGTGTAGTCCGCTAAATGACCTTCGCGCAGGGTTGGAGCGGTACTGAGGATGACATGATGGGAGGAATGGTACGTGCTGGAGAAGTAGTAGTATAGCGGTGATAGTGATTCCCGAGAGGAGTGCGACTGAATGCCTGACCTTTGTGTATTAGCTAGCGGTCTCGGTTGATGGCTGATAGTGTCAGTACCTGCGATCTGTGACTGGTGAAGAGTACTCACAGAACTTGAATGGATTATTGAGTGATAAAGGTTCTGGTCATATCCAGCTGGCGGACGGCCGCTTATCCCTCAAATGTATGATTTATCGATCGGCGTACTATCGTTTCTTCGGCCGGGTTGATCATAATGACAGCTAATACAGGGCAGTCCATGCCACTCGGCGTAGTATGTACACTGTATTCTTGCCAGTTAGTCTCAAATATGAACAGCTGGTTCTATCATGGGTATCTTCATGGCGCAGACCTTGGCCGAATCTTGTAAGCTAAAAGGATATACAATGATATCTATCCTTTGTTCTCTCAAACTCTGTATAATCTGCCATTTTAGACACAGTAGAATCCTTGAATGATAGGGCAACTGTGAATGATAGTGACCTTCAGTCCGAATGAATGAAGAGAAAGCTATACAGAAGCTTCCGGCATGCACCTCAAAATGCACCTCCACCGACGACTAATCGCCCAACCCTGGCCCCCCGACGACTAATCGACGCAGTGAAAGGGCACACGATCAAGAGAAAATGTATTCTGCTTTATTCAAAATTCTTTCCTCTGCAAAGAAAGAACACAAAGACAAACACAGCAGAAATACAACTCCACTACCTTCTTGGATGGTTTTGCCTTTCGTATTCTAGCCACTTGGACATCAGACGCTTGGATATCTCTTCTCCTCTGAGACAAGAAAAAGGGATAAGAGATCGCCAAGATGGTCTACATTCCAACTGAGGTCGTCGACAACATCATGTCTCATGTCGAGCCGGATGACTTCAATACCCTCTTCCAGTGTGCGCTGGTCAATCGTCAGTTTGCCAGATCTGCTCTTCGTGCTTTGTATCGGTAGGTGTTTGCATCGAGACAGGGGAGTACCGGTAGTTGCTAACAGGAATAGCTCTGAGGCACTATTCCCGGGAGTCAAAAGATCCTCCGCATACGAGCACTCGTTGATTGTAAGAACGCATAGCAGCAGCAAAGCTGAGTCGCATGCTGATGAAGACATAGGCCAAAAGAGCAAAGCAATGGTCCAAGTTTTGGTGGATCCTGATCATCTCTGCCCTCACCTTTAACACTTATCTCCCCTATGCCCAGTTCCTCCACACGCTCGACTTGTGCGATCTGGCGCTTCTGATCCACATCGACAGAGACTTTGCGGAGTAAGTAACCCAAGCTCAATCTTGCTCAAGCGACTGCTGCTAACATGGGACTAGAAAGTTACGGTATGGTGAGTTCGGCTTCAAGCTCAAGCTTATCTGCTTTGAGAATTATTGCAACATCTGTGCTGCGGTTGGTTGGGGTAAGTGTTCGATGACCGTCGACGTAACCTTAAGTGCTGACAGACCCAAGTCATTTTAGAGGTAAACTCTGGAATCACCAGCTTGGTGTGCGACAGTTGCCCCGAGACTTGGGATAGTGAGATCGAAAGAAATCGTTATCTCGGAGTTTCTGCGTCTGTTCTGGACTGGTGGGCTCCTCATTTGACCCGTCTCGAGACTCTGTGGTACAATCTGGGAAAGCATCTGAGCGTGGAGAACGCATACAGCATCGCACACCATTGTCCCCGGTTCAGAAACCTGATCGTCTGGGAATGGATGGAATTCACCATGAGCTCGGCCAGATTCGCTTCCGATGATTCCGACAGTGATACAGAAGAGGAACAGGCTTCGGCTGGAGATTTCCTACTCTCACTGCGGCATAATGCCTTAGAACGTTTCGAAGTCACTCGTGATTCCTACTTCAACCCTTCCATGATCACCGGCTTGACTGCTCATTTGCAATCCCTGCGTGTGTTGAGAGTGCCCAAGCTCCGACCACAGCTGGTGACCGAACTCCTGAAGTTGGATCCCTTGCCGTCCCTCGAATCCATCCACTTTTTCCTCAGTTCCGAGAGATGCGTTGCCCTAGTCCCTTCTTTCGGAAGATGGCTCGGTGCATGCAGAAACTTGCGCCGTATCGAGACTTGGCTCTACCATGATGAACTCTTGCTGTTAGCGAACGCCCTGAATCACGGCATCCTCTCCTTGGAGGTTCTCATCGTTCAGCAGAACTACGAGGATAACACGAGAATAATCGATGCTTTTTACCGTGGCCTCTCGCGTCAGCACAACTTGCAAGAACTGACCCTGAATACCGAAATGACGAGCCAAAAGAGCATCTTTATGTGGTGCCTTTTCCCCCTGAAGAAACTGCGCAAACTAAATCTCAGGAAAATGTCGAACCAGCTCACGTTGACCGAAATTAGGACTCTAAGCGGCAGCTTCCCTAACCTCACCTGGCTGGGTTTGTACGTGACTCCGGTCGTCGACGAAATCTGGGACTGCATCGTCGCGCCCAAGCTCCGCTACCTCCACTTGGTCGGCATTGGTTACTTGCACGCCGAACCCGCGATTAATTTCATTCTTCGTCTGGGCGAGCAGAACAGAGGTTTCATACTGAAGCTCAAGTTCACCACCTTCGCGGAAGACAACACCACCGTCTCAGAGGGGGATCATCTTCTCATCTCATTTGTGCTGAGGCGTCATCTAAACGGTCATCTCCTGCCGTACAGAGAAATGCTCTAGCGGTGCTCACTTGGTCATGATGCTTAGCCTATGTTGGTTTGAACAGAGCTCGTATGGCTTGACCTTAGCAGACTGGTTTTCCTTTCGACTGGCATTTCAGGATGTTGATGGATGATCTTTGGTGAAAGTATGCAGGATGTCTTGAGCATAAATGCTTCATACCATGATTAGGAATCCAGTCAATAGTCTTCTTATTATCATCCTGTAGTTTCCAGCCCTCGGAGTAGACTTGTCTGATCCTGGACTGTCACAGCGCAACGTATCGGAAGCTGAGACAACCACCCGAAAAAGTCAAACAGATCAAACAGAACAAACACAATACAAACAATCAAAACACCGAGAAGTGACGTCAACACTCTCCAGCCACGAATCAGATCCTCCAATCGCCTGTATAGATCTTTTGTATTGTTTGTCCGCGGTCTCCGGGCAAGGGAAACATAAGAAATGGGCTGCGGACGCAGGGAGACTCAAGTCTGTCAAAATGATTTCTTCTCTCATTGAGCATACACGTATGAGCTCGCGAGGTACCAGGCAAATGCTGATCTGACGATATGCTGTCCCACGACCCTTGTCTCGCACATAGTCCGGCCGAGTCGCTGCTGAATCCGTTTCCCTATGTCTGGTCGTGGATCTCTTCGTTCTGGATGAGGGATGAGATCGAGTCGGTCCTTGGATGTGATGAGAATACGCCTGAGTCTGAGCCAAAACTACCGGGGGAAGAATGAACGCTTGATGGTCGAAGGCTGAAGCTCGGGGCGATGGGTAAGTTTCCTGTGGGGGTTTTTTTTTACGACTCGTTGGTTATCGGTTTTGACTTGGTTGAATCAAGGCAATGACAGACTGATATTGTTGCCGTAGATAATGTGCGGATTCTCTACGATGCTGCCGTGGGGTCAGAAGGATCAGCTGCAGTATCCTATGGATCTGGACTCAAGACGACGAAAAGAGGAAAGACAGGAGTACTCCTAAGTGGAACCGGCTCAAGACTGAAGGAGATTCAACTACACATAGTATATACTCCTGGAGTTCGTGAATCATATTCCAATCAACACATGCAATGCATCTATATACAAGAGCTTGACAACAAATCCCGCTAGTGAGACTATAAAACCCCCCTCTGCGACTTGGACAATCTCTTGCTCAATTGCTCCCTCGCCTCCTGACACATCTTGGGAATATCCGCGTTGGCAATGATACCATTCCGGTAGTTGATCGCCTCTTCGATCTTGTTAAAGTCATCGCCAACGCCCTCAGCCAGCCACTCGTAACTGTTCCCAATGAACCTGCTGCTCTGCACCAGCCACTGAGAGCGCTCACGGCGGCTGGTATCATAAGCAGCCAGGACAGCTTCGAGGTCCTTGTGAGACTGGACCCGTGCGTCCTCTAGCAGTGTAGCCAGCACGGCAGTATCCTCGATGCAGAATCCGGCCCCAGCACCGTGATGCGGCGATGTCGCGTGTGCTGCGTCACCGGAGATACAGATGCGGCCTTTGTAGAAGGTAGGGACTGGGTGGTCGCCTAGATCGAAGATTGCCCACTGTCTGGATCAGCATCCGCGATGCAATTCGGTAAGGAGAACATACCACACTAAGCTTCTCCTCGGTCAGTTTCAAGAGGTTGATGACGTTTGGCCCGTAGCCTGCAAAGTCCCGTAGAGCTTCGTCCCGCGTACCCTGCCTCGTCAGCCGGGGGTAGTCGGTCCATTCGTCGGGCGTGGTGTGGAAGGCAACGATGTTGAGCGTCTTGCCTTGATTGACCGGGAACGTCAATACGTGGCCGCCGGGGCCCATCTGAAACCGGTCAGTCAAATATAAGAATAGAGGATGGAGTACTGACGTGCATGCACGAGTTCGAGGCCAGTTCCTCCCCGATAGCCTCAATGGCCTTTTCCATCGGTACTAGTCCCCGATACGCATACTTGTGTGTATACGACGGGTTCGCGGACGGATGATCATCGCCCACGATAATGCGCCGCACCTGGGACTTGATCCCATCGCAGCCGATCACCACATCGGTCACATCCTCGGATCCATCCGCGAACTTCATGACGAGCTTGCCATCCGCACGCTCAGTGATATGCTCTAGGCGCTTGTTGAAGCGCGAGATCTCGCGCGGGACCAGCTTGATCAGCTCGTCCAGGAAATGCGCGCGATGGACACCGGTCTGGCCGAGGCTGTTGGATATGGTGAATGCGATTTCCTGTCGACTCGAGTTCTTCGCAGTGGTCGATGTGCCTTTGTTGTAACCGTCCAGATAGTCGAACCAGACTTTTTGCTTCGAAGGCCACAGGTTCCGCGTGCAGACTTTCTCAAAAGCCTCGTAGATGCCCTGGTGGCTGACTTTCATGGCTTCCACTGCATTCGGACTGAAGGAGACGCCTGCGCCTACCTCGCCGAATGCATGGGCTTGCTCGTAGATCGTCACTGGGATTTGACGGTGGTAGAGTGCGATGGCCAGGGTCACGCCGGCGATCCCACCGCCAACAACAGCAACGTGGAAGTTCTTCTTGAGTGTCATTTCCACGTCTCTATCCGAGTTGTGAGCTAATGATGAGGAGAGGATGTGAGATGGCGCGGGTCAGTCGAAATGTCGCGTTAAGGAGAGAAGTGACTGCACGCAAGGCAGCCTTTTCGATTATGAACCGATCATACAGCGCTAAAGTCCACGGTTTGAACTGCGTGGACTGGTGAGTCGGATCTGGAGGAGGCGCATCGGCTTGGCCTCAGGCCCCATCGGATAAGTAGAGACCCACCACCCCATGGGGCATCGGACATCCTCCTTTCGTTGAATAGCGGGCTGCGTAAGTGCGTAGAGAAGTGAAACTCATTCGGCGTCGCTTCAAGTCAGGCTCTGGCGGGAAGAAGATTTAAGCTCCAGCATAACTCCTATTATTTTGAAGATTTTCTTGATTGGGGTCATGTTGCCATGTCCGATCTCCGAATCTGGAGATCTGGGGGATTTGCGAGATCCAAAGTGGGTTCGGGATTGTCGCTTTGAGGGATAAGGAAGTTAGGTGTCATGGTTGACGATGACACTGACCGACTACGACTCTGTATTCGAGATGTCTTGTCATGCATTGTTTAGTCGAGTTGAATTGAATTTGTCGTTTTGTACGGTCTGCTGTATACTGCAGCATTTGCATTGAACCTGGGCCGTATCCGGCACCTTCGTAGCCTACAGGCCAGACGTTTCCTCTGACATTGTACGCAATCCCGTCTCCGTGTAGATATTGCCTATTTGATAAATTATCTGGAAAATTCCTCGCAACAATACACAGAGCTATTGAGAGATGATAGCTTCACAAGATGTCAATGCCCTCAAGCGAGAGAGATTGCAGTGGGGCAATGTGGAAGTAGAGATGCGGATCGTGGAGACCTGTAAGCATGTTCAACAGGTTCAAGGTTGTCATCTAGCATAGCTTCCTTCAATCCAGCTACTATTAACAGATTGATAATATGACCTGGTGCTCAATCATCACGACCTGGCAAAGGATTTCCCTGATGGTGACCGGAGAGTTGCGACTTGCGAGATTGGAAGAAGTTTGCTATTATTGGGTCAATTCCGTCCTTTCTCAGAAAAAAATCTGATCCAATCACAATACTTTGTCTTGCTGCATCACATCAAAAGCGGCAATTGAGCTAGTTGTGCCGTCCTTGCCTTAGTGAGGTACCTACCTTGGACTTGGGTACTGGCCTAAGGTGGCAGGTAATAGCACAGTAATCATTATTACGCATGATCGGAACTGTCGGACCTGGAGTTTGGTTGAGCAAAGTCCTTAGGAACAACCCGGGAGAGATAAATCTCAAGGTTGAAAAAGCGATGCCTACTCTAAACGGAGTCTACAGAGATCATCTGCTCACATATTGTTGAGAACTTGGGGATAGGACTTGAGGTCAGCAAGCTAGGTCAGCAAGTTAGGAAGAGCTTCAAGGTGCATAGCCAACCGCGTCATTATTGCTATCGGATAATCGGCCCATCTTAGCCCTGGTCTTGGTCATTCAACATGGCTTATCAGATATTTAGAATATATCATATCTGTTTCCTTCGCCATTTTGAGACCATCCTGTCGGTCTGTATTGCATACCTGGTTTCCTAGGTTGTAGGTAGATATCAGGTCTACCTCCACTTGCATAATGTGTACCTGTAGTTGTCTGGGACTAAGAATACTAGATAATATCCTTGCAGATGGGTACATATGCACCTGGTTGAAACTAGAAACTGCACAGGTTCTTCTAGATTAGACCTTATGAACACAAGCTTGATTCCCGAGCGGAGTACTCCGTACTCTGTTGTCGTAAAGTATCGAAAGGTAAACCAAAGGTGAGAGTTCCTCAGGACTACCTAAGAAAGCAACGGGAATAAACGGCAACTGGAATTTCGCTTAAGGACGAATTGGGCATCAACTCATCCCCTCTCCACACCAGCCACCAAGCTGGAGGAGCGTGCTCCCGAGGTTCGCTCAAACTCAGCCATGCTGAGTGTGAAACCCCTTTTTTAAGTGCATATTTTTCCTATTATTTTGTTCCTCGAGTGTGAAATGAGCCGCATGTCCGATTTTTGTTTCCAGTTGCCACTGCTCTGACCGAAAATTTTTCTCTATCTCAGTTTTCCTGTCGACTTCGCGTGTCTCGAAAGGCCGGTGCCCCACCTCGGAACGGAATAAAGACTGGAGTGGCGTCGCACTAAGCTGGAATTTCGCCATCAACTAGCCTGGTTAGGCTTAGCCGCTTAAGTAGAGGCTTACTCAGAGAATTAGAGTCTTAGAGGAAGCTGGAGCTGGAGCTTTGGAATGAAAGCTCCAACCCGGAGCTGGGGAGAGCTATGGACTAATGGAGTCCTGAAGGAGGGGGTGCTAGGTAGATCGAAGGTCAAACAAAAAGATTCAGGAGGGGTCGCACAAGATCAGGTTATAAACCCTCCCATTCTTTTGTGCTCTTGTACCTGGTCTCTTGATAAATAGGCATTAATCCATAGTTTCAAGGTTTCAAGAAGGAAATTGATCTCACCATAGAAATCAGCTCTTCCTAAAGGTCAAGGCCCAGCTGAATTTTGTGCTTCGGGCCTGCAACTGCCCCAAATCTCAAGAGGGGCGGGGTTCCACCGGGTTTCCCGAAGTGCTGGTCAATCAGACATTAAAATAGTAGGTAGGTAGGTAGGGATGGTTTGCAGCAGTACGTGTATTGGTAATACCGGCTCTTTGACTTCAACCATCCAACAGCTCCAACAACACATCGACGCATAATTAGTCAAGGAGGTACAGCATTAAACACTTCGTGATCAAGGGTATTCTACTCAAAAGTTCATCTTGATAATAGGTATCTGAAATGTCAAGCAGAAAACAACTACCTAAAGACCATGTAAATAAACCTTTGTGTTGGAGTCGCATGAGTCTGCAACCCCTCCTTTACTTACCATACAGTCCGGTCCACTAATACCTTATCCATCTGGACGGTCACATAGTCCACTCAATAGGTAGTGCCAACTCATGTAAGGGATACATTATATCTGACGAGAGAATCAGCACATATCATCAAACTTGTGGATATGCTCTCAAGTTGGATATAGTCTTTGATGATTCTGATACCCTCTGAGTCTCTAGTTCAGCCGATAAATGCTGTTGTGGAAGGAAGATGTCCATTTCTGCGATGCGGGTATCGCGCTGTCCCACGTTTTGGTTTATCGATAGGCGCCCTTTTAATTCGGCACACTCGGGCTTTAAACTTTCCTGATCAATCAATGCCATTGGCTGTCATTTGTGTGACATTTGAATGAAATTTAAATTTTACACTAGTAAGATTTTCTTTTTTTTTTTTTTTTTCCCTCTAAAATCGCAGTCCCTCAAAGTGGACGAGCTGGTCAGCTCCGGCAAAGGAACTGCTGCAACAGTGGTAACTATCTACATAGTAGCTACCTCTTTCGATACCTCTCTACTACAGGGGCACCGGGGTAAAATGTCTGCCCTCGCAATGATAATTAATAGGGAATGGTCTAGGTAAGGTAGTGACCTTGATGTTCCCACGGAACGATTTGCCATCCTTGGACCATTAGACTGGACACCGTGCCACCGGATTCATCTCAAAGAAACCTAGATTCCTGAGGTTGTCCCATCGCCTGACAACTAGTAGTAGTTTCTACAAGAAGTTCGTTATCGTTATCGATTATCAGCTGCATCGTCACCATCATCATTATCTGTACAAGCGATAAACAAGGGGACAATATTGCCATCTGTGGTATTGCCTCGACTCTGAGCTTGAAGCCCACACGGTGCCTTTCCGGGCTTTTCTTCGGCCCCAATCATCATTACACTTGCACAATAATACTACCCAAAAATCCTAGGCAGGAAGATATCCAATTTTGCCTTCCATTCCACCCACCCTTTTTTCCCCTCCCGCAGCTCTACCGGCTTTCTTTCGTCTCCTCTGGATCAACTCGCCAATCCTCTTCCTACTATTGGCATTCTCCCTCTGTACCTATCTAGCTGTGTATTTCATTTACGATACCTTACAGCTTTATCCATACTTTACCTACTCTAGCTCACTACTAGGTAGCTTACTTCGTACTGCTGACCTCAACTTTCCCCCCTTACCTTCCCTTTCCTATCACACTTATCTTTCATACTAACCACAATTACCACCATTTACTGCTACTTCATCTACTATCTATACAGGCCACCACGACAGAGCTACTAATTGCTGCTATTCTTACTGCTAGCTATCCTCTCCGAGTACCTACAAGCTAGCTAGTCGTGGTTCATTGTTCTTCCACATCATCTGCTCACTTATCCATCTACCACACTTTCATCTTTTCCCTCAATTTTCCTTTCACACTTTCGATTCTTCGCCATCAACTCAATCAGTCGCATGGGTATTTTTACCTAGAATCGTTCTGAAATTTTCCAGCCTTTATCGGAGCATGTATTGCGACGTTCGGCTCTTTTAGCTTGGACTTTTCTGCGTTGCTTGATTGATTGATTGACGTCGAACGGCTTGCTTGTTTGCTGGCTGGCTTGCATCTCCCTCCAACCCCGCCGCCATCACGGATTCATGCAGACAATGCCGCCCCGAGCGTCCCTGACCAGCTCCTTTTCTGTCACCGACGCCAATAATGAGGTCGTCTGTCCATTGAAGAATAATGATGGCTCCAATTGCCGCAAAAGATGCCTGGGTGTGAGTTCTCCTTGGAGTTTCTTTCGAGTCCCTGCTCCTCTTCCCCCGCCCGTCTAGCTATCAGTATGGAGCCCCACTTTCAGTCGCTATCCGGCTCCTTCAACAAAGCAAACGATTCGAGAGCAGATCTCTTGTCAAAAGGCAATGTCTGTAGGATTAATGCCTGACAATAAGTGTATAGGAGAAACGCTATCGCTCCATGCAGGAGCACATCCGACGGGCCCATCCCAACCACTACATTCCGAAGCTCCCGGCTACCGAAGAAAGCTTCCTCTTGATGGTCACAACGCCTCCGGATCAGCGGGCCCATATATCCCCTCCGAACCAAGCTCCATCCCGAAGACACAATGGTGGGTTCATTCGGATTGTTTGACCAGCTGGATTCAAAGAGAAAAAGCTCTGACTCTGAACTACAGCAGACCGAGATATCTACGTTGCGGATGCCAGCTCGCCTGCAACTCCGCGGGGTATCGATGAAGCTCATCCTGCAGCTGCAACAGCTGCTGTCGCATTGGCTCAATTGCACCATCACCGCTTAGCGTCGGACTGGGATACTGATATGGTATGGATAGCAATCGAGACACAATGATTCTGGCTGACCAGTCGCAAGGAGGTTCACTCGGATAACGACATTGGTCGGGACCGCATGCAATCTTCAATCGAACTGCCATCCCTGCGAGACCACTTCAAGCAAGAATCGTTACCTCCGTTTTCATCGCCCCGACCACGAGAACTCCTTCCTTCCATTCTCAACCACTCTCCCCCCGGTCGCTCTTCGACACTGCCTCCTATCCAGCGACGAGACAAGCTACCTCGCCCGCGCAAGTCGTCTATCTCTCGGAAGCTCAAGCATGACCGGACGAGATCGAAAGAATACGGACGACGTCCTAGCTTGGGCGATCGCAAGGCACTTTCGGCCGAGCCGCAAACGGCGGCTTGGGCGCAAGGCAAGCGCTGGGAGGACCTGATTGAAGCGGCGACCTCGGCCACTGAAGCTGATGATGAGCAAAACTCGGATGTAAGTCATGCACTTCTTGGCTTTGCGTCACGGACATAGTTCATGGCTGACTGGATTAGATCGGCCGTTCGCCAACAATTCCCCCTCTGATTTCTAACATAACGTCGGCTCCCGCTCAGAATCGTTCGTCGTTACCGCCTGCTTTTCAATCCGTAGGTCTGCCTCCACCTGCGTCGCATCGCCCATTCCCGCCTCACTCTTACGCGGCATCGCCTTTGCACAAGTCCCTCACTCCACCGCCTTTTGAGACTCGCAGTCGGGATGGTGATCTTGAGCCTTTCCCCTCTATTGAATCCTCTCTCGATTCGATGTCCACCACATCAGGTAAAAACTTTAGTTTCGGAAGAAACATGGGCAACTCTGCGAACTCGGACTCCAGTCCTGTGCTGAATCTGTTCCCGTCTTCTGCGTCCCAGCGCCAGCACCATCGGTTCTCGAACCCGACTCCAGCTTCATTCCGAAACAAGGATATTCAAATCTATTGCGCGAGCTGCAAGCGGCCGTGGCCACTGAATGAATGTTATGCATGCACCGAGTGCATCTGCGGCGTATGCCGGGAGTGCGTGGGAATGTTCATTAGCAGTCCTCCCGTGACATTCAAGAACGTGACCTCCAGTCCGGGCAGCGCAGTGCCTACCAACAGCGCGGGGTACGGCCCTACCAGCTACCCTAGCCCGCGTGGATGCCCGCGGTGTCGGACCGTCGGGGGCAAATGGAAGGCATTCCAAATCGAGTTCAGGTGAATAGAACGCTCGATCTCGTCCGACTATAGCATCAACCAGGACGATTACACTCATTTAACGGCATCTTTACTCTGTCTAATGGATTACGATTAATGTTTTGGGGATCATGATCATTGAAATCACGCGCAACATGACCGAAATATACAGACACAGGGCGTTATTAACTGTAAGTGGGTTCATGGTTTCAATGCCCTCGCTATGCATGACATTTGGCAAGGTATGACATATGCCAACGGGATACTCCCATCAATCACTCGGCTACTCTAAGGTATTTAACTGGCAACAGATGGTTGGTGAGAGTCGATCTCATGAATGTTGAAAATGTGGATGAATCAAAAAGCTGGTCTTTTGTCCTTTCTTTCATGATTATGCTGGACGGGTATATTACGGTGGCATTTTGGATATTTTTTTGGTTAAGATACACTGGTTATACTGGTTTGGATGGTGTTGGTTCAGAATCGCATCTTATTAGTCTTTTGGCAGCAATGCATGAAGATTTCATTTGGCGTGCAGTTTATGCTATCGCTTCGCATTCTGAATACAGCAAGATACGACACTTTCACATTACTCTGCCCAGATGACTCTGCTCAGGCCTGTTGAAGTTCCAGGCTTTCCGGGCTCTCCGACCTGGATGTTGGCGACCTGGCCACCCAGCTTTCCGCTCGCCGGATCTCTCAAACCAACGGCGATGTTGGAAGAAGACTGGTCCCCGATAGCGACCAGGGTGCCGGCCTTGTTGATGACAAAGGTACGGGGAACAATGCCATGGGCAGAGGTGAGTTCTTGGAAGGACACGGTGCCGTTGGTAGAGCGGGTGAGGGTGGCCAATGAATCATTGCCGGAGAAGGCATGATCGCTGCGAATCGAGGCATACAGGTTTGATCCGGCATGCTGCAGCTCGGCCAGCGTCGCGCCCTCGGGCAGTTCCCCGCCGGGGTATGGCACGAAGGCCTGAGTCTCGCGGAAGCCGAGACAGCCAGAGGGGAGGTATGAGACAGCGAAAGCGTTAAAGTGGTGGCCCAGTTCACTGACAGTGTACAGCATTGTCTGTGGCGCGCGTTTGGCGGCACTGTTCTGGACGCGCAGACCATGGCGATGCGGTTGGTGAGAAGACCAGAAGAGGCCGTGTCGCGGCCCGCTGCCGGCGGTGTAGTTGAGGCTGGGGCAGGTGTTTAGCTGGCCCGATGGCTTGTCGATGGCGTACACGCGAACCTCATCGGCGCCTAGATCGGGGACGAGGATGAACGAGCCAGTGGGGTCGAGGATGATCTGGTGGGGATGGGAGGAGTCCTGCTGCGGATCGGGGCCGGGCGGTGTCTTGTACCGCAGGACCTGCAGGGGCTCGTCCTCGGATTCGAGGGGGAGGGCAAAGGTCGATACCGCCGAACCGGAACTTCGTCTGCTGTCAGCTTTGCGACATCCTATTGTGGGAATTGACTTACTAGTGTGCAATGGCCAAGTACTTTGCACCGTGGTCTCCTTCGTACACGACGCTGTGGACACCACCTCCGATGTCCACCACCTTTGCGAGCTGAGTGAGCGATCCATCTCCTGCGACGGCGTAAGAGCTCAGAGTGCCATTGGTCGTCGCGTCGCCGGTCTCGTCGGAGCAGTAGAGGGTGCGCGTTGAGGGGTCCAGGGTCAACCAGCTCGGCATGCCGCCGCAGGTGGTCATGGCCGACGCGAGGGACAGATTGTAATTGCCATTGCGATGGTCGAGGGCGAGGGTGTAGACAGAGCCACTGTAGTGGGTGGCATAGAGGGTTGCGGCGGAAGCCAGGGAAGCGAACAGGGAGAGGGAGCCTAGCATTTTCGCCCGGGAGTGGAGTATGGGGGTTGGAAGTTGACAGTTTACGGAGTACGTGGTTATGAATTATATACTGGGAGAATCCCGGACGGAAATGAAGGCCACAAGGTGACATTGTTGTTGTCTTCATGCAGGATAGTGGAGCTGGTGGCTGGTAGTTGGCATGGATCTGCATGTTTCTTCATGTTTATGGACTATGTATCCCACGTTCTTGGCATCGCGCCCCCAGTCCAGGGTATTCTATTGACTTTAAGGGAATCATTAGATCCTACTGGTGCTTCGATGTGGTACTGTGTCGTGGTAGCTGTCTGAAGTTGATGATATTACAGCGATCGACAGGTTTCACCATACAAGTACCTTCCTCTTCTCCGCACCAGAAATGGATATCCCTAGTCAAACTAAGCCTTAGTATTATTCAGGGTCGCGCGTTTTCGAAATCTTTACTTGCAGGGAAAGCTAACAGTACCATCACCATCATCTTCCAGGCTGATAAGATCAAACGCTTTGGCAAGCTTCAAATTGTGATCCAGGCTGTTGGCTCGAGGAATTAACCTAATCTTCCTCTGAAGCAGCAATCACCATCAAGCTCAATCAACAGTAGTAGCTGAATCACAACTGCTACACAGACTCGTTTAGGGGTAGTACATGAGAGATAGGATGTATAGGCGTATATTCATGCCAGAGAAGACGCATGCTGTCGGTATTAGTAGCCAGCTTTTAGGATATATAGCCACTGGGTCAGTTCACAGCCTTGTATGTGGATTAATGTGTATACCTAATAAGTTTTGATAATTACAGGCTAGAGGTAGATGGATTCACTAAATGTTAAGATATACAGAGTATTATAGATTTTACCTAACTAAAGGAAATTTGGCACCTGTTTAATCATTAGAGATATAGCTTCAGCTACTGGAATTACTGTGTTTGAACCCATAGAGATATTGACTTATACTTCACTATTAAGTATCTAATTTACTAAAGCTAGGTCTGAATAGCTTCACTGTATATAACTTTAAGTAGCATGAATATATGTAATCCAAGTATAAGCACTTAGTCTACTTTCTTTCTCTTCACATCTAGGATTCTTCTTTATTCACTCTCCTCAGAAGACTTGAGTATTCACTTCTCTGATATAGATGCAGTCACTACAATAGCCTATTCACTCTTAACAGATACTGAGAAAGCATTCCTTTCCATTGAGGCTAATCGGCCTCATCTTCCTCCTTGCTCACCACCTCAACCTCTGTTGCTCCGTCTTTCTATCTTACATACTGTTAAAATATCATACCACTATGATTATGGATATGTAATCCCTGGACTAAGGAGTACGTCGATTAGATATCTTTACATATCTACACTTCTTTACTCCCTGTTTCCACACCCTTGGAGCGGAACATGTACGCTTCAGCTATTTTGCTGATATCAAGACGCTCATAGTCAAGGTACAGACGGTACCCCCACGAGAAGGCCCAGGCAGCAATGGGACTTCCTTTTTCTTCTTTGAGTGACTGCCATTAGCAAAGCAGTCGAGGATGAAAATGGACGCGAGGCACTCTATAGAAAAGCCTGGGATCTTCTCCAGAAGGCTCTAACCAGTTCTCCAGAAGCGAGACGTGACTATGTCGATTATTATGTCGACTTGTTCAACATGCACAGAGGTAAGTGACATCTTACTCCATCTATACACGCCAAGTGGACAGTGAGTACTGACATGAGAGCGAAAAAGCAAGGAAACACCTCTGAGGCCGCGTGGGAAGATCTGGTTGCTCATCGTTTGGATGACTTCCCAGTCGAATGAAAAGTCGAACTAAAATCGAGGATCCCGATATAATGGACACTCTCATCAGACTCAGGGATCTAGATGATGCGAATCAATTTGTAAGAGATGACGTTTTCTTCAGTTGCCTTCCACGTTGGGTGAATCATGAAACCGAATGGACAGACTTGGCTAACGCATCCCAGTATAAATCGGATGATTTCAGAAAGCTGAACTCGGTTCCCAGCGCAGACTCTCAGGACCAGCCCGAGCCTGAAGTTCAACCCGAGGGTCTTCCCGAAATCAACACTGCACAGCCCGAGCCTGAGGTTCGAACAGACAATCCTCGGGGAAAGAGACCGAATGGGCGGCACAGCCTGCGCCTGAGGTTCAAACCAAGAGTCCTCAGGATAGTAAGATCGAATGGACTGCGCAACCCGGGTCTCCCGATCAGAATGTGGTAATCGAACAAGCAGTTATCTGCAGGCTTGTTTCGGATGATGATTGACGAGCAGTTATTCTCCATGACTTATCACGGAATTTTACTTTCGAGGAAATTGCCGATGATTTTGATCCATTCACGACTGAGAGTGCTCCACCACCTCAGGTAAGTTCTCTGCCTAACACCCGGGCTTTGATCAAGATGTTAATTGATTATTAGGCCATCTGTATTCAACCTGGTCGCCGAAGGTCGTAACAGAGTCTTGGATTAAGTTTAAGGGAATCATTAGATCCTACTGGTGCTTCGATGTGGTACTGTGTCATGGTAGATGTCTGAAGTTGATGATGTTACAGCAATCGACAGTTGTTGGAATAAGATACCACTATGATTATGGATATGAAGCCCTAGACTGACGAGTGAATCGTCTGGTCACCTTTTTAGCCTAGTGGTATTACATTTCTATAGTTTCACAATACAAGTATCTTCCTCTTCTCCGCACTAGAAATAGTTGTGTGGTCTATATCGCTTCCTTAGTCCTTACTGCTGCTCAAGTTTGCGGCCATCTCCTATTGCTGGTTTTTACCACCTCTTCCAGGGTTTCTGGTATAGAATCAGTGAGGTTTGCTACTGAACCAGTTATCCTATGTTCTGCACTTCTCCACCCTTAGTCTTTGATGACATGGCGCTTGCGCAGAGACATAATCCTCTACTCCTCAATCCTCCCCTATTACCCTAGCATGTCTTTACCAAGTGCATTTATGCAGCCACCACCTCCAAGTCAATCTTCGTCCTCAATCATCTCAGGATGATGCTCTTGATCCATCTAACCGAAGCTGGGTCTGAATATCTTCACTGTATATATCTTCACGTAGCATTGGATATATGTAATCCAAGTATAAGCAATTGGTCTACTCTCTTACTCTTCACATCTAAGGTAGCTTTCTTCCTTGTTCACACTACATAGAAGACTTAAGTGACAGACTTGAGCATTCCATTCTCTGATACAGATGCATTCACTACAGTAGCCCACTTTCGACAAACACTGAGGAAGCATCCAGAGCTTTCCCCTCATCTCCCTCATCTCCCCCCCCCCCCCCTCCCCCCTCCCCCCCCCTCCTCCCCCCCCCCCCCCCCCCCCCCCCCCCCCCCCCCCTTTCTCTTCTCCCCCCCCTCCCCCTCCCTCTCTTTTTTCTCTTCTCTTTCTCTTTTCTTTTCCTTTTCCTTTCTTCTTTTTCTTCCTTCTCCTCTCTCTTT